CTTTCACAACAGCCCGACCTGTAGGACATGTTTTAAATTTTCAGTTCCTTAAAAGTTTTATCTACCGCTTAACTTAAAAAAATAAGCAACCCTAAAAATAAAAGTCGTGGTTTTGGAGTGTTTAGACAGACGACAAAAGCCATTTAACACTGGCCGATTTGGTGGGAGAAAATAAATGTTAGTTGGTCTTCCTTCTCGGTTGGATTTCATAGATGTCATATGAGATGATGACTCAGGGCATTTTTCACTTGGAGCTCGACTTTCTCGTCCCTGCTGCTCCCACTTGACACTGTCGGGCACATCTCCATGTCTCTCTCTGCAATCGCACCTGACTTTCTAGTGCTGCTGTGTAATTTTCCACATGTTCCTGTGCGCCATTCTGCACCGGCAATCAATAAAATACTTACAGACGATTAGCAGGAAAAACACAAGGAAATAAATAACAAAACGAAAAAAATAATTAAAGAAAACAAAAATTAGCAATAATGAAATCGGAAAATATGTGTAGTTTATAAAGCAAGATGCAAAAGTTCATTTTATTTGCTTTCGACAGGTTTAAAAGGTCAATTACAAAAATGAAATCAATCATGTAAAAGTAGAGCAATTAATGTGTTGCAGAAACTTTAAAATAAAATTTGAAGACAGCTGATTAAAACCAAAATGGATCAAAAGAAAATATGCAGACGTTTGAGAGTATATGAAAAATATGTGACCTGGCAGGACACTCGCGGTTTCATAAAATCCAAAGGCTTATACTGCGATAAAAGAAAATAGGCGTGTTCCTTAAACCAACACAACACACAAACCATCTGCAAAAAATAATGTCTTCAAGAGCAATTGGCAAAATTAGTCCCCTTTTATTTGCAGACTGTGCTTTGGATTTAGGCTGCTCTTACATCTTTAGTTCCATTCACATATGGCTTGCTGGATATTATTAAAAACAGTGAACAGAGTCTTGTTTATTCCTAAGGCAACAATATACAAATTATGGAGTGAAAAATGAACTGATTGTAGCTGAAAAGCAGAAAGATGAGCAATGGTATCTTGAAACGAAACTCATCAAATCAAATAATAAGCCAACTTCTTTGCTCAAACCTGGAGAGATCTGAATCAAATTAAAAGGAAATTAGGCCTGCAACCATCAGCCACAGTTGTCTCATTACAGCGGAAAGATAATCCACAAAAGCCTTAAACCATACACACAGTAGAGGAGAAGAGAGGCAGGATTTCACAGTGTGAAAGTTAAACAATGGTAACTATTTGAAGTTTAAAAAAAAAAAAAAAAGTATATATTTGAGAATGTGTCTAAGGTATCATAAGATTAAGTATCCGGTTTGAGTTTTTTACTAATGTCATGACACATTAGAGATGTATTCCATTAAGCCTTGAGTGGTTTATAAAACACACCAGCCTTGTGGAAAATTTTTTATCATGTTTGTGTCACATAGTCAGATTATGTGCAGCTGAGCAGGGAGCTGACTTTGTCACTTCTAAGTACACAAGAAGTACTTTGGTGGGAGGAAAAAAGGGGAAAGAATAGATATGTTACATTTCTCCAACATCTAAGGAAATATCATTCAGGCTTAGAATAATATTGAAATCTTGAATTTCCTGACATGTGTAAGGCGATATATTGAGACTTTATGAGTGTTGTGAGCTGACTTCTGGCTCCTGTTAAAATGAGATATCCCTCAAACCCAGTCTGATGCTTGACTTTAAGTAATTTTAAATATGCTCAGTGTCCTGAATTTTCCATATTCAGCACAGGTTGTGTTTGTTTTATTTGTTTCATCACATTCAATCATCCAGAGACATCAATTTCAAGGATATCAAATTGAAAAAAAAAAAAAAGATATATATTCATAATAAACACAGAGAGATGGACTCTGCACAGTTTTGTAAATCAAACATAGAGCTATTCTAAAGTAAACACTTACAACTCTGAGAAGTATTGGCTTCATATTAAAAATCAAATAGTGTGAATCTGTGTATGAGACATTGCATTCAAATTTAGCTCAAAGTTGAGAAATTAAAAAAAAGTTAACTGTTATTATAATCACTACAATCCCAGAAATATGTGACACTGGTTAGGACCACCTTTTACACAAAGCTGAATGAGAAAAGTCAGGTTTAAAAGCTGACTGCATGTGCGGAGGAGTTAGAGAATGAAGAAGTCATAAAAACAACACCCTCTGTTAAAACAAAACAAATGGTCTCCAGTTAAGAGTGCGTGTTCACTCTTGTTAAAAACATTTGTGGTGAGTAAAGAAAAAAGTAAAAACTGATCAGGTTGAAATAACGACCCTTAGCAGGAGATACCATACAGCAAAGAGCTGATTTTGGGGGGAGGTGGGGTAAGCAGCTCAGGCTTTAGGACTGGTGGGGAAGAGGGAGAGGAGGGAGAGACTGAGCAGTGCAGACTGGAGGGCAGGCGGGGCATTAGCTCAGTTCAGGCTGATGTCAGGACAATTAGAGGTGCACCACAGCGCATTGTGCACAGCGCCTGTCAGCCTTAATCTCTGCTGCCGTGGCCCGTACACGCAGCCAGGCCACAGCCCACGGGAAGCGCTAACACTCGGGCCCATATTGCTTTGACAGTTGCACTCATCTAGAAGTAATGCAAAACGTTATTGTGATGTATACACGGTGACCCTGTACTCTTGTCTCTTACAACAACAAGGCTGTGTGTGTGCAGAGCCACGGAGGACTGGAAGGGAGAAATGACACTCAGGGAGAGGAGTGAGGAAAGAAAGATGGAAGGAGAAGGATAAAAAAAAAAAAAAAAAAAATAGCAGAGGGTCTGGAAACTTAGCCTTCTTTTCTGCAGTGCCCCCTCTGATCCCTTGCCACCCTGCTCCCTCTCCTCTTTTTCCAAGTCATTTTTATTGGTCTTTTACAAATCTTGGTGTTTGCTTTTGAGGGAGCTGCTGCGTGTGGTGACAGTGTTGGAGGTCTCCTCAGCCTCCTCGTCCTCTTTCACCTCCAGGACCTCGCTGAAGAACCTGAAGATGGAGTTGAAACTCATCCAAGAGGTCAGCTCATGCCTCTCTGTGCCTACACGTAAAAGACACACAGACAGAAACATTAGCAGGGTTCACAAAAAAATTGAAAAGCTACAGGCAAGGAAAAATGTATGTAAATATTCTAACATTGTTAAAAATTAAGCTCTGCATTCTATTCTCTCTCTGTGGCACAAAAGGTGAAAATAATTAGAGAAGATGCTTGGTTTTGTAATGCTGTCCACTCCCGCAATGCATTGCATCGCTCCATGCAAACCCAGGGCCTTATGCATGAGAGCCATGACAGCCTATGACCTATTAGTCCAATGGGACAGCCTTAATATGTTATCCAAGCGGATACCTGATAATCAACACCACTGCACGCCCCGCTTTCCATCTCAGGCCTTCCAACAAAACCAGAGTTATGCACAATGGGCGCACTAAGCGAAACCAGTGGAGCGGTAGTCATTCATTCTAAAGGGCTGATTGAGGATAGGCAAGACAGAAGCTGTAGAGAGGTAACAAGTGGGCATATCAAGTGGTCTAGTGGTGGCGGGGGGGAAGGCAGCAGTGCTGGGTTTCCCTTTGACCTCCTCCAGGTTAGCCAGTTCCCAAGTTGGGGTCACACTGGAACTTGAAATCTGGTACATGCGCCTCAGGTTCCTGTTCGCCTCAGGGGTTAGGGTATCACTAGGCAGCTTTTTAGTTTGATAGCTTGCAAACTTGATGGCAGTTCCTATGTTTGTCTTGCGCCAGCTAGTCCTGCTACAGAACACCTCGGCTCAGGAGCGCTGATGATGAGGACAGATCGTGGCTGCAGCTGTTGCCCGACTCGTCTGTACTCCTGCTTGCTAACCATTCAGCGAGAGCACTAACAGATAATGGCTTGTTTCTGCTGCCGCTGGCTAGCAGCTCAGCTGCTTAGCAACACATCTGTAACTGGACTTGAGAAGCCACACTGAGGTGCCCTCTTGTTTCCCAGAGGGAGAATAGGTTTGCAGTGAGATGATATTAAGAGTTTCATCCCTTGATAGATGGATCTAAGAAAAATTTACATGTGTTTACAGACAGAGGGATGAGTGAATACAAGCCTTGAAGTAATGAGTTTTCTTTTTTTGCTTATTTGCACACTTAAAACCGTTTTTTCTTTGGGACCTACATTTGTTTTTAAGATAAGAAAATTAAAATGTCTCCCTACAATTTTCTCTGGAGGATTACAAAAAAGGATAAGCTCAGTATCTGAAATCAGTTAGGATAGTATTAAAACAACTGGTCCCAGCAGAAAAGGGTTGAAAACCACGACCCTTCTGGATGACTCAAATCAGTAGTGCATTAAAAGTATCTCTGCTCCTCTCTCCAGCACCTTTCTCCTTCGTTCCTTGCTTCCTCCCGGCTCCTCTGTGCACATTCGATCGGCTATAAAAAGCTAGACTAGAAGGCCGCAGGGATACAATTAGGAAGCACCTTAAAGGCTCTCTCACCATAGAAAGGCCTCTGATGACCACTGCACTGACCCCATGTTTATTAGATTGACCCCGTACCTGGACGCATTAATGGAGATGGTGTGCGTGCATCTGTGTGTTTGTTAGACTGGGGGTAACTGCGGGGTCTTTGCTAGTGGTGTGTTTTGTTTGTGTGTGTGTGTAATTTGTGTGTACAAGTATGTAAGGGGGTTCTCGATCACTCTGAGATAAGGGACTGCGCTGCACGCTATATAGCTAGCAGACTGCGGTTAGTGCCTTGGGTCAAATTTACTGGCCTAGCAATCATGGGAGTCAATAACCTAGCACTCTCAGTGACTCGGCTACCTGTGTAGGGCTCAACATAACATCCATCCCTGGAAAACAAAGACACGGCCCTCTCACACCTCTAATCTATCATTTATATCCAATTTGAAGCACTGTGATCTTTTTTCCACTTCCTCCTCCATTTTCCCCCGTCTCTTCGGTCTCTCCCTCACTAGTGTTTTTACTTCTGTTTTGTCCTTTTTTTCTCCTGCAGAAGCGATCAATGCCGCAGTGCTCTCTCATTCACCCTGAACTGGCGGTGAACTCCTCCGGAACGCCGCCAGCCTCTCCACCCTATCCCATCGCAGTTCGGGGTCACCAGAGGGGCGTCTCTGTGCCAATATGCAGATGAGTCTGTGCCCCTCCAGTGACTCTGGTGTGAAGCTCCACCTCCTCTATATGGTGGATCCCCCCCCACACACACACAACACTCAAAGACATAGAGACATATACCCACTCTCACACTGGCTTAAATAGGCCTTTAACAGCTTACGTCCACTCTTCCTTTAATAGCCAAAGTGTGTCGAACCTAATGGATGTTGTCAAAGCTGAGATGTGACCACTGATTTAGAGGAGGAAGCCGAATGACCAGGCTTCACTAGCCACTAAAGACTGAGAGAGAGAGAGAGGGAGAGAGAGAATTACCTCAGCTATGCTACAAATCAAAGTAATATCTTTAAAAGATGTGGGGATCGATGAGGTGTCATGTGGCTGTATCTTGTGTGTAAAGTGATCCCATAAACAGCCAATGAGTACTTTATCCTCAATTTTAGTCCCTCACTGAAAAAGTTTTTCAACTGACAAGCAGATTTTTTTTTATGAGCAATTGATTTCATGTATCGCTTAAACAAGATATAACAGGCGAAGAGCTCTTCCATTTAAATCAGTTTAATTATAACTTGTATCTTGTGTTTAATTGATCAAACTTTGCAAATAAAGTACCCTGTGTTTTTGTGTTTGTGTGTTTTCTTGCATTAACTGTAAATCAATTAAGTTGCATGTGCTAATTTGAACAAGATCGTTGTAATTGCATTAATTTAATAAAGTTTATTGTAAATGCAATAATGTCCTCATTTATTGTAAATGCAATAATGATGTTACTGTGAGCTCCATAACACTGGGTATTGTCATGGGAAATACAGGAAAAAAAACCTCTTTACTTTCACAATGTGTTTATAATTAACATTAGGCAGTGGCAAGCTTAACAAGAGCTTATTTCTGCAAGTAGAATGGTGACGACTGTAACCTTGAGGTGAGGCAAAACACACACACACACACACACACACACACACACACACACACACACACACACACACACACACACACACACACACACACACACACACACACACACACACACACACACACACACAGCTCCATGTTGATGTTTTCCCTGTAATGCAGGAAAGAGCAGGTAGAGAAACATGGCCTGTGGTGAAGCTCTCCTTCCATGCTCTCTGCTCAGGTCATGACAAAGTTTCAGTCTGGCTCCTGACCCGTGCCCTGTGTTTGAGCATTCTGTGTGTGTTGTCTTCAGCCTGGTGAGGCTGCCTCATTATGTGACAGGCAGAGCAGAGTATTTGATCCTGGATATTTAGCCTCCTCCACTCTGTCACAGCCACTGGAGCCCTCTCAAGGTAATTGACTGACTGTTTGATCTCCCTCTGACTCTACACTGGTACAAGACGCTGACACACACACACACACACACACACACACAAACACATTCGCCACTTGCAAGCGACTACTCGAGGATGGCACACACACACACACACACACACACACACACACACACACAGTTGTTATCATTTGTGTGCAGTGAGGTAAGGGAACAGGGGAGGAGAGTTTTGAGCTGTTAAAAAGGAAACAAGGAAACTCCTCCATAGCTATGGGCCATGCTTTCTTCCCTCCGCACCAAACGCTGCATGCTGTTACAAATGGTAATCGGCTCTGATTGTCACAAATTTCAAAACAAACGCTAGGTGACTGAAAAGCCAAAGTGACGCCCCGAGTGATACTCCGACAGAAAGCCCGAATCAAAGCATGCCGACTATAATTAGGTTCCATCTGGGCTACATTATTTAAAGCCGCACCAGTTAATTGCTTGTGTACAAATGGCCTATTTTATTTGAATCAAACTTTTTTTGTGATTCGTAATTACATTGATGTGAAGGGGGCCATATCTCTTTACTTCATTTATAATATAAATACATATTCAAATTATTAAGAGGACTTTGAGGCAGGGGAATGTAAAGTGATGATACTTTTCTTGTGAACTGAATTTCTTTAAACAATTATGAGTGCTTAATCAAATATACTGACATTTAGGTTAAACATTTAATGAGCTTCAATTAAAAAAGGAGATGAACAATGATATAAACATGAAGCAAAAATTACAAAAACAGAATACCTAACAGGACTGATAAACATAATATTATTGCATGCAGAAGCAAACATTTTCTCATTTCCTCTTGACAAAGTTTTCATCAAAAATCTAACGCAAACAGTGGATTTTCTTATCGATTTCCTATCAACAGTAACCTAAGCTTTTGTTTTATCTCGATGTGAGGCGGAGCAGTGCATTGTGGTATGGGCCCTGGCTGGCTGTAACCTTAGCCGGGGTGCTGTTTGTGGAAACTATCTGTTGCATGGATCAGCGGTGGGGAATCGCTATCTGTATCCTGGTTGTCAGACGATCGGATTTCCGCCCCTGACGCTCTCTGATATTAGATGATCTTCTGTGGTGTGTGTGAGAGTATGTGTGTGTGTGTGTGTGTGTATTAGTTCCTATGTGTGTGGCTGTCCATATGAGATGCACATGCGCATACAGTCAGTTATGCGTGTTGTCATCTTGCTTGCCGACATGCGTAAAGGTCAGCAATGTCATTTTGTCCCACGTGGCTGTCTGTCGAAGGGGGTAGGACATGTTGCCACTGGAGATGAGGTCAAAGAGAGCCCAGGCAGGTGACAGCCGGTCAGCCACACTGCCAGAGCAACTCTGTAACAAAACGTGGAGATGTTGTCCTCAGTCAAAAAGCTAATTAAATCTAAATTTACGCCCCCTCCCTACCACCACCACTCAATTTCCACTCTTGCTGGAGACATCCACATCAACCCCACAAACAGTGTAACAGGTATAAGCAGACTTTTATTTACGCTATGCAACACTTCATGTTTAATAAAATCAACATGGTACTAAGCCTCCACGGGTCTATAGGAGCAGGAGAGACACACATGCATCACACAAGAAAAAATTAAACAGGAAAACTACTCAAAACAGAGCTCATTTCATCAAACCAGTAATACCACTGCTGCTTCTTGAATGCAATTCATTTTTAATGCTCGTCGGTAAGCTGGGTCTGCTTTCCCCCCCCATCTCCCTCGTACTGCTTTTAATTACTTTGCTTATTATTGCGTGTTGTTGTTAGACAAAAACAAGGCAGAACTCATTATACATCCAGAGATGAGGAACCTGAATCACTAGCTACAGGGGCCGCTGAGGGGACTCTGTATTTACTTAGAATAAAATACAAACAGAAGAGAGACAGAGAAACAAAATCGAGTGAAAGCCCAGAGAGGGGAGAATACCACATTAACTTGTTGAAATCATCACCCAATGTAAGCTACTTTACATTCCATATAATAATTCAAGGAAGAGAAAAAACTTGTGACAACAAGAACTCCACACAAAAGACGGCACTGTACTTCTACTTTCTACTTCTTTCTCCTTCAGTTCCCTCTCTTCATCTTCTTTCCCCACGTGCCACCTCCCTACCCAGACACTGAGACTGCACTGAGTGCTTTTTTATTTTAACGTGAATGAGTGGCCTTGGCCGTCATAAAGGACCCTCGCTTTTATAGACTTGGAGCAGAGTATTTACAAGATAACCCCAGTCCAAGGACAGCACAAGCTATTTGATACCAGTGTCAGACTCTCCCCTCTCCTCTTCAGTAAAAATCAAAAGCCCAAACAAGCCCTCGCCTTTGACAGCACCTCTCACTGTCAGTTGTTTTACTCTGCTCTACTAAAAAGAGATGAGACACTCTGAAATAAGAGGAGAGACAGCTGTGTGTGGCATTTCACAAAGACATCAGTTGTACCTTTTCTCATTTACTTCTTACATTGGCATAATAATGACATTAAATAATAGAGGTAGAGATTTATTTAAAAAAAAATATTAAAATTGAGGACTGTAGTTTAGCACTGTATATAAACAGAATGTGAAAATAAGTTGCTAGTAATTTTTCTCATTGTGGTCAGAATTGATACAAGGCAAGATATCAGGTACAAATATATCTCTCATGTAACAACCATTAAGATGTACAATAAAATCAGTCAATAAAATTCATATATTAAATAAATAAAAAACAGAATTACTATAAAATATACTGTACAAATCTTATATTTCTATTAAGAAGATATATACTTTTCTTTAATGTTTTAGGCCATTTGGATACAACTTAAAATAACTATTTTATACATGGCTGCTAAAGAGAATGGAAAAATGTAAGAAAAAGTATGGAGTTACTGACAAAATGTGTTATTTGGTTAAAAGGAATTGGCGATATAGTCTGAGCACACTATTTGCTCATAACTAACAAATCTACTCAACTACAACAAGAAAAACACATAACTGTCAGAATTCATGGTAGCTTTGGAAAACAAAACACTTAAATTATCAGATGCACACATAACACAAATTCTACTATTTATATCCTTAAAACTTGCTTCAATGACATATCCATGCCCCACCATTATGGAGAACAATTTAAATGTTCACTCCACCATGTCCAAGATTCACTGGCAGTTTCTTTTTTAAACGTGTGCATATACCTGTTGATTCAGTGTGCGTATGTGACGGAGAAAGTCACAGAAAGAGAGAGATTGAGTGACTGAGTGTGCGTACACATGTATGTGTATGGAGGGGCCTTGTTGGGAGTGCCACCCAGACATTAGCACTGTAAACAGTGCAGGCCTCCTTCCCTGTCCAGGCCCTTTGTTCCATCTGCACCACCATTGGTCAGGACTTAAATGGCAAACACTCAGGGGCTGCTAGCTCGCCTGACACGGTTTTGTTTTTGGCCTATTGAGGGGCAATGGAGAGCTTCTGTTTCTATGCCCGGGCACAATGTGTCTCAAAAGCAGCATGGCTGAAAAGAGAGGCCCCCACAAAGACTGTCCATTAGTGGAGGCACTGCATGCATGCGTATACGTGCATTCACATATGCACAAGCACACACACACACACACACACACACACACACACACACACACACACACACACACACACACACACACACACACACACACACACACACACACACACACACACACACACACACACACACCATGATGCTTGGGCAAGGGTCAGGACAGACAACCTTGCCAAAGACGCTGGTGGAGATGGAGCATTTGCACATGTGGGTGTGCCCATGCACAAGCTAACGCACGCACGCACGCACGCACGCACGCACGCACGCACGCACGCACACACACACACACACACACACACACACACACACACACACAACAAAGCCACACAGTCTATATAACCAAATCCAAGCCAAACTGCATACTCGCTACACCACTTCACTATACTACACTCACTCCTCACTCACGTAAACACACAACCTCTGCTCCACTTCACCACAATGAGGTCTGGCACACACACATGCACGCACACACGCACCTCCCTAACACATCCAGGACAATACCAGGCATAGAAAAACACACACTGACACACACACGCACACTTCTACAATATCAGACATACACACATCACTCAGTCACAAAAGAGGTGGAGGAGGAGGAAAGGGGTAAGAGAGGCCCCCTTGCACCTGTAAGAACGACAGGCTGCATTCAGAATCAATGGTCCCAGAATGGACAGCTTTGAGTGTGAGAACCCCCATCCACACAAGGCCATGGCGACACACCTTACATACAGCCCTCCTTCACTGAACAGGTTGTCTAAGGTCTATAGAAGAATAGAGCACAGCAATTAACACCACTAGCACATGCTTTGTATAATGTTAGATATAACTGCAAAGTATCTAAAAGGAATTAT